GGCTTCAATAAAGTTATGCAAATGATTGAAAAAAAGATGGACAATGATTTCTTTTTGTAACACTTTATGTCACCAAAATTGTTCTTTCAATACCTCTACATAAATATCAATTGTTCTCAAAGGCATTTCTCTGAAACTGAAAATAAATACTCTCAAGATGGCCAAGGCATGCTAATACACACCCCAAAACACACTCTGTGATCAAGGCTCAGTTACAGCAGCATTATATAAAGGGAAAGACCTCAGATTATGATATATAAATAACTTTAGTTTTACTGTACTCAATCTAGATCATATATGAATGACTTTTATTTTAATATGAATTCTTCTGAATTTTCGCTTCATAACACAATTTTTTTTTGTAAAGAACAGACAAGAAATGAACAAGATACACTCATTTATATAACTGAAGCTACGTCCTCAGCCACTCAGGCCGTTTTACCCACGGATATATCTGTAATGTGCCTTATCTGATCTGTGGGTGGGAAAATCCGTGGATCGGGTACAGTTAATATCCGGGTGTATCCATGACAGTCCCTAGTGCGGGACCTGATTGACTTCACCTATCTCGTTCATCGAAACGTTATTGATGAAGACGCACTGCTCGAAATTGACGCTGCTCTTCAATGTTTTCATGTCAATCGCGAAGCCTTTCGTCCAGTCCGCCCATCTGGATTTTCCCTTCCACGCCAGCATTCCCTTGTTCACTATCATTTTCTTATCACAGAATTTGGCGCCCCCAATGGTCTCTGCTCATCCATTACCGAGTCCAAACATATCAAAGCCGTCAAAAAGCCATACAGACGAACCAGTCATAACAAACCCCTAGGTCAGATGCTTGTCATCAACCAGTGAATTGATAAGCTTGCGGCTGCCCGTGTCGACTTCAAGGAATGTGGTATGCTCGAAGGGTCCATTCTTCCCTTTCACCTCCTCCCTGATGGTGATCTACCCCCCCACGCTCCCAATCCACAACTTCCACTCCTGCCAGTTCCCTATGACGATGAAGGGGAAGAATTTGGTATCGTTGACGAGCCTGAATCCCTTTCAGAGATCTGACTGGCCAAAACCTATGG